TCCTCCTCTTCCTCCTCCTCCTCCTCCTCTTCCTCCTCCTCCTCCGCCTCCTCCGCCTCCTCCTCCGCCTCCTCTTCCTCCTCCGACGCCAAAGGCAGCCGCTGCCGTCGCCAAAGTCGGAGATGTCGATGAGGAGGGAAAGGGGGGGGTGCGGCGCGGGGGGCCTTCCTTCCGTCACTTCTTCCTGCTGTGTCTGCTGCAGCTGCTACAGCTGACCGACCTCCTTCTCCCGCTCCCCCTCCCCCGCCTCACCCGCCACCAGTCACGAGGGCACGTGGTCCTCTCGTCCGGGCCGCTCCCGAAGAAGTCGCGCTGACCACTCTGGTCCGCGGGGCCCATGGGCAGGCCCCCCTCGATCAGCCTCGGAGGTCGCCGAAGCAGCGGCCCGAACACAGAACTCTAACGCTGTCGCGGAGGCAGAGAACCGTCATGGACACAATCTTTCGGAGCTCCGCACGGATCTCTTGGATCAGCGCAGGGCCCCCGTGGCGGCGCCTCCTGCGCCGCCCCTGGCGCGCTCTGCGAGCCAGGGAGGGGGGTCCAACGCCGATCCAAGAAATCTGCGCGGAGCTCCCAAAAGTAACCCTGCGCTCCTGATATTAATTCACTGGGGGTAATAATAAAGTTCGGGGTCCAAGGGGGATGATAAACGTTTGCCCGGAGACCGCAGCAAAATGATGAAGATGATAATGAAGATGATGAAGATGATGAAGATGATGAAGATGATGAAGATGCTGATGCTGATGAAGATGATGAAGATGATGAAGATGCTGATGCTGATGCTGATGCTGATGCTGATGATGATGATGATGATGATGATGATGATGATGATGATGACGATGACGATGAAATGTATGGGTTCCATAGGAAATCCATCGGTATCCTTAGGACATGCACAGGACTCCTTCGGAAATGCATAGGATTCCTTAGGAGGTCCATCGGATTCCTCGGGAAATTCATGAATTCCTTCGACAATCCATGAGATGCCTTAGGACATCTATGTGATTCCTTAGGAAATTCATGAGATTCCTGAGAAAGTTCATCGGATGCCTTAGGGAACTGGGATTACACAGGAAATCCATCGGGAGTTTTCAAAAAAACCTTCGATGCGGGACCTCAGGTTTCTTATGAAACTCAATGATTTTTGATCGTGTCCAACGGAACATGTGTAGGATCCATGGCGGCTCCTTTGCGGTGATAAAAACACACGGGATAAAAAAGTTCGGAGCGGGAGCGCAAGGAGGTGGAGAACGAGGATTCCGTTGGAAATCCATAGGATGCCTTAGGAAATGCATAGGAATCCTTATGAAAACCTTAGGGATATCTTGGACATATATATATATATATATATACAATAATCCTTAAGACATCAATCGGAATCCTTAGAACTCATCGCCACTCGACATAAGAGAATACCAACTTCGATTCGCAACTTGCCCCCGCGATTATCCAATTCGGCCTTGCCGCCCCTGTTCCCCGACCAAATCTGTCTGCACTGGCCGGGGATAATCAACTCTCAGGGGTTTAAAGCGGGGGTCCAATGATTATCCGGGGGATGCGGGTATGCTTCCCCAATGGTGTCTTCTTCACCTTCGGAAGACTTCGTCGGTTCTCGGAGATGTTCGGGCCCTGGGGTGCTCTCCATCAGCTGAGCCTCGACGACGGCTTTGAAGGGGAACTGGGACACACACATAAACACACACACACAAATAACCAGACTCCCTATATTTCCATATATTTTCTGCGTTTTTGTATTCCCCCCCACTTCCCATATCTTCCCATCTTTTCTCGGGAATCGAGGATGCATTGTGCAGGAGGGTGCCCTTTCTCCAGGTGTCCTTCGTCGTCGGCCTCCGGGGCCGTCCTGGCCCTGTCGGGCTGGACCCGCCGGGCGGCAGCTGCGGACAGACTCTGGAAACGGGGACCAACAGACATCCATACCCACCGCCTCGGGAGATCCTCGGGCGGCGCTTCATGGGGAAGCGATCAATGCCCGGGGGGGGGAGAAAGGTGTTTTTTGCAGCCCTTGCTGCCCCCCCCATGTGGATCGCCCCCACATTTATGCGGGGCCCAAGAAGGCCTTGGGCGTGGCTTGATGGGGGGTCATAAACGGGGGGATCAGAAAATGTCCCCTTTCGGGCCCCTCCAGAGCCCCAGGGGGCTCGTTCAGGTACCGTTTGGGTGCCTTTTCGGACCACACTCGCCACCCCCCCATTCATGATCCCCCATTACGCAGCGCCCAGCCCTGGGACGCAAGACTGGCCCCGGGAAGGCGGTCGCAACCTTTGGCGCCGCAAGTGGGCAAAGAAATAAGCCGGCGGAGGTCAGGGAGCAGATCAGGAAACAGGAGCTGCACGAACCTAGACTTTCGCTTGCCGTCGCTCGGGCCCTCATTTCCCGTGCATGCTTCGGTCTCGTGAGTGCTAGTCTTGCTCGATGATCCAGGATGCTCTTCGATGGTCCTCGCCGAGGAAAAAAAGCATACGTCCGAGCGAGGCCAAGACATAAGCGAAGCCCCTGGCGGCGCCTCCGGCGCCAGCCCTGGCGCGCCGCGCGCAAGGGAGAGGGAACTAGCGACGAGCCAAAGATTTCACGCGGACCTCCGAACATTTATGCTAATGCCGCTTCCGCTCGTACTCGACGGATGTGTCGGGAGGATCGCACCGCTCCGAGGCCGAGACATCCTGCGCATCCACACCGCCTGGGGAGCGTTGCCTCAGAAAGCCACGTGGCGATGGGTGTGGATGTGTCGGTGGGCCCCCGCGGGGCCCGAGGAAGCCCGCACCCCTAATGCCTCAAGGGGTCTCGGGAGGGCGATTCCTCAGGCGGCGGATATGTATAGACTCTGGCCTTGGATTTGGCGTCCCGAAACGGTGCGGTGACAGACCGTGCGGTGACCTCGAAGTCACACAAAACCTCACCGCACGGTCCGTCACCGCACGATTTTGGGACCTCGGATGCCCCAGTCGCCCGAGACGTCCTCGGTGAACGACCCGAGTCCCAAAACTGTGCGGTGACCCCGAATCCCCACCGACTCACCGCACGGTGTGGTCACCACCCCGTGAGGGGCCCCCGATTGGAACCGCATCGCCGATACATTAGGAAAGTGCGGGCAGAATAAGTCCGTATTGAATCGGGAAATCGGATCGAATCGCAGTGTGCGTCGGATCAGAGTGTCTCGGCAATCGAATCGGATCGGCTGCATCAGGATGCACAACAACGTCATGCAAGCATCGGGCCACGTCGGATCGTTGGAATATCGACATCCGATTCGATCGGGCTTGCTAGAATCGATATCGAATCGGATCGATCGGATCGGCGTCGACTCTGGCCGGCGACGTCAGAACGGACAAAATCGCGCCAGGGGTCGTGCCCCACCCCCGATGCATCTGCGATGCCCGGGTGTGAAGGGAGGCAGTTCGGCAGGATGCGAACAAAGGCGGAAGCACGCTGCCACGAACAGCCCTGCACCCCACTCTGTCCACAACGCAGCCCCGGGCATCTGGCGGCCTAACGACTTCGGTGCACGGCCCCCGAGGACACAACCCCTCCCCTCGGGAGCGTCGAAGAGGGGGGCGTCCAAGAGGGGTGTGTGTGTGTGCAAATCATGGCCCGAGGCATGTGCTACGACCAGGGGGGGGCAGGGAACGTATTGAAGTAAGAAGGAGGCAATGAAATCTTGGGAAATCTCGTGGCCCTGGCCATGATTTACACCCCCCTAATCTTCACCCCCCTCTTGGCCGCTCCCGACCCCTGGGAACAAATCCCCCGCCCTGGGATCCACTCTGCATTGCCCCTGGGGGCCCCAGAAACAGGGGCCCCAGAGGCCGGCACCGAGGAGCGACGCTCAGATTTGATTTTTTGCTCGGGAAAAAAACAACAAAAAAGAAACGTCGGAGATCTGCGACCTGGGCTGCGGCCCAGCAGCTTCTCTTCCGCCCCAGCCTGCCTCCCCCCGCCCGCCCGCCCGCCCGAGCTGCGGCGCGATCCTCCGACCCCACCTGCTCTGGCCTCGCTTGAAGCGGCCTCCCTGCGCCTGCGGCTCTTGGCCACCAGGCCCGGCAGCGCCACGGTCACCTCGGGGGATGGGGAAGGAGGCAGGCGGAGGGAGGGAGGAGGGGAGGAGGAGGAGCGAGGAGGAAGGAGGAGGAGGTAGGAGGAGGCGGAGGGAGGGAGGAGAGGTAGGAGGAAGGAGGAGGAGGAGTAGGAGGAGGAGGAGGAGAGAGGAGGAGGAGGAGGAGGAGGAGGAGGAGGAGGAGGAGGAGGAGGAGTGAGGAGGAGGAGGAGGAGGAGGAGGAGGAGGAGGAGGGAGGGAGGAGGAGGAGGGAGGAGGAGAGGAAGGAGGAGGAGGAGGAGGAGAGGAGGAGGAGGAGGAGGAGGAGGAGGGGAGGAGGAAGGAGGAGGAGAGTTGGAGGGGAGGAGGAGGAGGGGGACGGGCGGGAGGCGGAGGGGGAGGTGGGAGCGGGAGGGGAGGGGGTAGGGGGGAGGAGGGGGTAGGGGAGGAGGGAGGAGGAGGAGGAGGAGGGGAGGAGGAGGAGGAGGAGGAGGAGGAGATTGAGGAGGAGGAGGAGGAGGAGGGAGGAGGAGGAGGAGGAGGAGGAGAAGGAGGGGAAGAACAAGGAAGGAAAAGGCAGGAAAAGGAGGAGGAGGAGGAGGGGAGAGGAGAAAAGGAGGAGGAGGGGGGGAGGCGGGTAGGAGAGGGAGGAGGAGGAGGAGGAGGAGGGGGGGAAGGGAGGAGGAGGAGGGCGAGGAGGACTTGGCCTTCGTGTCGCTGGACCTCAAGAGCGCGTTCACCCGTCTGCGTCGGAGGGCGGTGCTTCGCCGCGTGCGGGAGCGCTGCCCGGAGCTGGAGGACCTGGTGGTGCAGCGGCACGGCCGCGCGACGGTGCACTCTGCCGCGGGGGCCGGCGGGGTGTCCCACCTGGTGGAGCAGCAGGAGTGCCTCGACCAAGGGTGCCCCCTCACCCCAGCGATTTTTTAGCATCGCCCTCGCCCCGGAGCTCTCCGCCTTGCGGGACTTCCTATGCACCCTGGACCCTCGCTGCAAGGTGTGGGCTTACCTGGACGACGCCTACCTGACGGTGCCGAAGGCCCACCTGCACCAGGCGCTGAAAAAGGCAAGCGCTCTCTTTGCCGACTTGGGCCTCGAGCTGAACACGAGCATGACGAAGGTCTGGTGCCCAGACGGCCAGGTCGCCGCGATGCCCGACGGGGCAGAGGCATGGGTCGTGGACGCGCTGCCCTGCCTGGGCAGCACCGTGACTTTCGTCAGGGCCAGGCACGACGCGGACGACGAGGAGTGGAGGGATACGCTCGCAGAGGTGTTTGACGAGACCTCCCCGGCCACCTCGGCCGCGCGGCTCGCCGACTACGGGGGGGCGCTCGCAAAGCTGGAGGCGGCGGGGCTCGAGAAGCAGCACTGCTTCACCCTCCTCCGCACCTACGTGAACGGCGCGGTGACGCACCTGCAGCGCGCCCGCTTTGCGTCGCGGGGGGCCTGGCGCTCTTTCGACGACGCGGTGGTGGCGCAGGTCGAGCACCTGGTCGGCCCGGGCCTCGCCGAGGACGGCCGCGCGGCTCTCTTCCTACCCGCCAAGGCAGGGGGGGCCGGCTTCGGTTCCGCAGAGCGCCGCGCCGACGCGGCCTGGCTGGGCTCCTGGCACGCAGTGCAGGACGGAGTGCGGGCGCGACAAGAGGAGCCGAGCCTGGCGGAGGCAGAAGCCGCAACGCCGAAGCTGACAACCGCTGTGGCGGAGGCGAAGGCTCGCCTCCGGGCGCGGGGGGCACTGGTCCCGCTGGACCCGCGGCGCCAGGTCAAGCAACGCGTCTACACGAAGCTGCTGGCGGCCCGCGCGCACGCCGAGCTCCAGGCGCGCCTCTCCGAGCCAGCGGCGGCGCTCCTCCTGTCCCAGGGTGGGACCGGCGCAGCGGTGTTGCAGCCGCCGAGCTTGCCGCAGCACCTCCTGGGTGACGACGAGTTCGCGGTCACGTTGCGGCGGCGCCTGCTGTACCTCGACCCAGCGGGCCAGGGCGGCGCCCCGTGCCAGAACACGGCCGCGTCCACGGGCGCGCACTGCGGGGCCAGCACGGCGGGGCCCCACGCCAGGCACGCTGGGCGATTGGCTGGCGGAGCGCCATGGCACCCAGCCCGCGACGATCGAGCAGCGCATCTCGGCCTGGGACGCAGTGACCGCGGGGGGCACCCAAGCAGCCGTCCTCGACGTGGTCCTGGCGTACCCAAGCGAGCGCGCGTGCATCGACACGAGCGCGACTGAGGCCATCGCCGCCGAGGGCGCGACCGCACGCCGGCGCGCCCGCGTCGCCGGCGCAGCGGCCCGGGAGCGGGAACCGGAGAAGCACTCCCGCTAGTTACCCCGGCCCTGGCCTGGTGGCCGCGGTGGTGG